CCCCCCCATCATCATTTTCCCCCATGTAGGGTAGTACTTATTAAATATTATATTGTGCACAGGCAAGAAACTTACTATTTACACACATTGCCTCCAAATTATATTCCACAGTTTGTGACTGAATGTCCCTCTCAGGGTCTGATCCATAGAAAACACAAAATTAAATTACGTTAACATTGTTCTTGTTACAAATGTTGAATATGATTATAATACGAATCAATATCAATATCAGTCTTTATCATGCACACTTTTGGAAGTTTGAATGAGAAAAGCTTTGATGTACTGCTCCAATGCTTGGATGGAAGGGGAAAAAATGAATTATTAATGTCTAATTAATGATGCTACCATTGGACAAATGTCAGGGGAAATTGGTTAGGTTTGTCTGGCTAAGATGACAGCTTCAGCTCAGGAGATTTGATAATAACTATTCTATCACAGACCACTAGTGCCAATAACTACGTAAATATCTTTAGAGATACATGGAATTGGATTGACGCTGGGAAGAAAAGAGCTGATATTTTCATTTTCAAACTGATGCTAAAAACACCCATACAATGCAAATAAAAACCGTATGAAAAAAATAGCCCCTTATTATATAAAATGGAATGATGAATGAAGAATTAAGAACAACATATTTATCTGAAAGTCGTAGCTTTAACTTCTAAGTTAACACATCCATAAGGTACTCAAGTATACATCTTTTAGACCTTTACTAAAAGATAAAAAAACATTGTGTCTGTTATTTAATCTGAAGACATAACATTTGCAGTTATCACCACAACAGTGTTAAATGTTTGAGCTGCCTCCTCAACATTCTTTACATCTGAAGAGAAAAGAGGGAAAGTATGAAAAATTGTTGTTCTACATTCTGTCTAATATATTGAATGAACATGTGTGACATATTTCTTCTTTCAAATCGGTCATAAATGCACAGTCAAAATACAGAGGGTGAGGCCGAAAGTACCTTGCCACACCGATAGGGGGCAGTGCTGCCCCATAGGGACAATGAAACGTTGATGTGCGTTTTTCTGTTACGCAGAGGAGCGGGGGTGGAAGAGCATATCTGAAAACTAAAGGATTTTTCTAAACGCGTCATTTTTCCAAACTCATTCATCTTAAAATAAAGGTAAGATGATACGTTTTTTTTTTTAAAGAGAAATATGGAGTTGATTAAAGCATAATTAGATAGGTTTTTTAAAGAAAAAAGAAAAAGGCAAAATTGAAATATAAGCTTCCATTTTGGGTTCATATATGTGAGCATCAAATTCCAGATGTGCGTCACCGCACGTCACTGATATGCACATGCCAATTTTCAGTTGTTTATAGTTTTTTAAATGTATATATACATATACATATATACACTGCTAAAAAAATAAAGGGGACACCTAAACAAAACAATGTAACTCCAAATCAGTCACACCTTTGTGGAATCAATGTCACCAGTTAGGTAGTAACACTTATGGTGAATCAATTTCACTTGCTGCTGAGCAAATGGAAACACAACAGGTGGAATGAGAGGCAATTATCAAGACAACCCCTATAAAAGAGTGACTCTGCAGGTGGTGACCACAGGTCATTTCTCTGTTCTCGTCCTTTCTGGTTGAACTTTTAGTTACTTTTTCATTTTGTCAGTGCTGTCAAGCATAGAGGCATCACGAGTTTATTACAGCTCACTGAAGTTGCTCAAGTAGTGCAGCTAATCCAAGATGGAACATCAATGCCAGCGGCGGCAAGAAGATGTGCTGTGTCTCTCAGCACAGTGTCCAGAGCATGGAATAGGCACCAGGAGACAGGCCAGTACACCAGGAGACATGGAAGGGGCCGTA